GTGTAAGAATTTCATTACCTATTTTTACACCCCCTAAAACGCCTGAATACGGCGGTATAAGGCAATAATATTCTATAAATTCATAGATCGTTTAGTGATGTGCCTCGAGTCCTATTTTACTCGAGTCATAATCGAGTTTTCGAGTGACAAGAGTAAAAAAAAATACAAACATGCTACTTGAGTGATATGTCTCTTAGTAATTCCAAAGAAATATACCTAATATAAATATAATACACATTAAAAGAGTTTTGACATATTATTTATATAGAAAATCAAGAAAATAAAAAAGCTGACTAGATTAATAAATTAGTGAAGTAACATTTAGTGGCAAGAGAATCAATTCGATACGCCGAGTTGTCTCGATAACTTGAGTGCATAGAGACTCGAGTGCTATTTTTTCTCACTCGAGTTCGAGTTTGAAAATTTCACTCGAGTGACATACATACCATATATTAAATCTAAATACAATATACTCCTTTTTTGAGCAGTTGTGTGAAAAGTGTGTATAAGAAGGAAACACTACGTTTCTTTCTTAAATCCGCATATCCAAACAAAGCTTAAAATATAATCGTTGAATGTTTTTCAACTGAAAACAGAAACACCGTAGCTCCCATCAATCGCCTACGCGTGCATTAAACTAAACAAACTGCTAAATGTTTCTTCAAATTAATGAATAGCTACAAATTACTTTTTTGTTTGATTTATAGAAAATCTTAGTTATAATAATTTTCTACAAAGAATTTTACCAATATTGTTACATCTTAGCACAAAACTCACGTATTAAAGACACGACGATTAAAATTATTAAGCATATACTTGAACTAGCTAGTTGAAATTATTGATCTAACAAAAATATTACTTAGTCGACGCCAAACGACTACGCACGTATAGGCAAGTATAGGTGCGTAGTTCGTTTCATCTATTGAGTGACGGCACGTTTGTATAAGCAAGTGATAAAGAAATAAATATGTTATTTCTACATGGAAAAGTATGTATAATGCGTAGCACGTCTGTTAAACCAAAATTAATATAACATTTATTTATAACTTTGTAACTACAAATTAAAAATAACGAGTTTCTACGAAACTCTTATACCAAAGAAACGTATTTGCTGATAATTTATGCTTCAATGGAGGTAAGACCTAACACTACTTTGTTATCGTCATGGATATGATTTTATCAAAATTACAAGATAGTTTCAAAATTTGATAAAATTTCATTCACAGAATAAGAGTAGGCCCTCTGTTTGATATTAGAAGTCTGTCTTAAATACATCGATAATGTCACAACACACTTATTTCCTAAACTATCTATGGCACGGTCAAAACAATACGACATACTAAACGAAGCACAGACGTGACTGCCAGACTGTCACACCCTCTCGAATTAACTCCCCACCGTTCGAACCTTTCATAAAACGGCTCGCTAACATCACCTAGACTAGACACACCTTTAACTCCATGAAATAGAGTTTGATTTCTTGTTAGAATACTTTGATTTAGGTATCCTAAGTACTTGACGAAAGCCCTTTAAAGTTGTTTGTTTATCCCTGTCGCGACGGAAATTCATTAAAAAGGCTTAGTGATTTCCACTGAAGATGCAACCGGTTTTTCAATTTCAATCTCATATTTTAATTTTCAACATTCATTTCTCAAAAACATATTTTATGGTTATTTATAGAATCAACTAATAAGGTAAACAATTTTGAAATCACATTTATTTTATGTATTACTCTAACTATCAATATGACAACTCTTAAATTGATATCTTGTATATGTGCAATTTGATAACGCTACTGTTTTCCCCTACATTAATTTTGTAATATTTTGTGCTATTTATGTTATGTTTGTCTTGGCATGTTATGTTAAACAGAAATCTCTATTCAAATATCATAAAGACTGGTATATGTTGCGCTTGACGCAGGTATACTTTTTATATTTATTTAATTGATTACTAATACCTAGCCGTATAATGCAATAATATTGAATACGGCATAATACATATTTATTACGTCATAGCTTTGTAAATATATTTTATACTTATTAATAAAGTAACATTTGAAGATTTTACAAAGCAATACAAGTTTTGAAATCCAATTATTATTATGCGGAAACTCAAATATTTTATACACATGCATGCAAATGCATAAGTACTTATTGATCAATCAAGATTAAATATTAAATAGGAACACGCAAATTACATAGTAGTTATGTCGGCAATATTCGTTTCTCTTCGAAAGTGCCGTATTTAAGGTAAACGGCTAAATGACATTGAACCAAATTTACATTTAATATGACAAAAAAATCACGTGCTTGCCTACTTCACGAAGTGTCTCAAAAACGTGACCTTTACCCTATTAAGCCGCTAAATACTAAGATTAAATCCCAAACATATTATTTGCCTTAACAATAATGAATATTAATGAGTACCAATTGATGCAATCTTCAATATTTATTGCAAAACTCTCAGTTTACTTAGAAAACTTTCGAGAACACAAATTCGTTGTTGTTTCGAAATACAACACAAATTAGGCTTTGCAATTTTTTTTTAATCTTATCATTAATTTAAAGCTTAAAATATTAATAAAAGTCTACAATAATGCATAGTATTTAAATATCAAAATGGTTCTTAATTTAAGGTATTTAAAAATTAATAAAATCTTGTAATTGTGTTATTGTCAGCGTTTTACAGCTGAGGCACAGGAATTCCCTATGGATTAGAATGGACCATGACTCACGACGCGGACCCATTGGATATATCTGATTGTTTTTTGTTAACGACTACAGACGTGCCTTCCGAAGCATAGAGCTGCTGAAGACAATAAATTTTTGGTCACCCATCCTATGAATGGCCTTGCGAAAGCACTTTAAAGCAATTGCACTTTATCTTCGCATCGCAGACCAAGCGTGCTTACCACTTCACTATCATTCTATATTTCCCATTAAAAATAGAGCCGATTGGGTTCTTAGTAACATCGTCCTATAACTTAACTATACATATAAAAAGAACTGAGAAAAATGTTAAAACTCATTCGCATTTAAAATATGAATTTAAAATTCATGTCAATTCATTATTACTGAGTTAGTAAAGATTAAGACGTCAAAATGACGTTACCCCAAATTAAAAGTGTATTTCTGTGACCCAAAAACCGCGAACAGACGACTAGCCTTTTGTTTGGACGCCATTATTCTTCAGCAATAATCCACTATGCGTCGAGGGGTGGCAAGGAATTTTCCTAATCGATAAAATGGTCGTCCAAATGTGACTTACTTTGCGAGCTCGTTCTAGAGTCAAATTATCGCTAACTCAATAACATCCGGTTACAGTGTGAATTGAATAAATGTTTTTGCTGATGTACCGCAAAAATTGACACTACGCATATACATATATCATATCATTATTCATTGTTATACTTGCGCCATCATAAAAATGTTAACTTAGAATAAATAATGTTATAAAAATTCCCTCCAAACAACAATAGAAATTTAGAATTAAATAATAAAGAATTAATAGAAATTTAAATAAACTAAATGTACCCTTCTCTAAAATGCATTTAGATATATCAAGTTTCCATTCAATGTTAATTAAAATATATTACCATATACCAAATCGCAGAAAAAATCCTACAAAATTTAATTCAAAACTAAAATCATATCTTATTAATAAATGTTACTTTAATATAATTCCAAAAATTAATGACGAGCAAATATTAGTTTTAATTTATTTTTACTTATTATTTTTAAACATCTTTCATTGAGAATAACTATTTGACTTAATTATATCTAATGGAATTCAATTTTATTTTATTTTAATGCAATGAATAAATAACTTTTAAATTATTTTAAATTGTTGTTAATATTAATCACAATTCAGTTTGATAAGTTCTTGCCTAAGATTATGTTATTAACATGTTTTCGCTTTGCTAAACTCTCTACATATTGCAATGCCCTCGTAGAGCGTCACATCTATACTTAAAATTTAATTATGTTTCATTGTTTGTAATGTGACACGCAATAAAAATTTTGATTTGATTTGAATAAATGAGTAATACAGCAATATACTTCACAAAATTCTTACACATATAACAACAATATTCCCCGCTCTTTCTTTTCGAAAGCGATAAACTCAAAAACTACAAAACATTTTTTCAAACAAAATTTACAAATTAAGGGGGATATTTACCAGGAATAGTGTTACAGTATAACTAATAAAAAAATAATCAACTAAATTATAACTATGACTGTTGAGTTCTCGATAAAAAATTACTACTTACATCTAAAATTATCTATAAAATTGAAGTTATTTTAAGCACCCGCCGCCACCTGAGTTGAGGATACAATGTCGAATTTATATAAACAATTATCTTTTACTTAACTTTTAAAAGATAAAAGGTCATCGAAAATTTAAGTAGCACTCACGCGTTAAGGGAAACAATCGGTATAAACAAATTGTGACAAGGGGTGGCTGTGTTAGAATCTTGTAGAATACGAAGTTCAGATAACCTGATCAAACTTATTAAAATTTTAACATGTAAAATGAAAATAAAATGAAAGCTACTCAACAAGGGCTGCTTTTACCCTTATTATATTTACGACATGTTCTGTGACATAAAAGCTCTGTCACAATCAAATTAGAGATCGAAATATATTTTGATAACAAAAGAGGATACATTATAAAAATCCCACTAACTGTTTTACCCGGCAACCTTACAGAAAACATAAAACGAGAATAGGCAAAAGAGTATTTAACTAGACGACTCTGTTCTAAATAATCACTTTGCAGACCCAATGCGAATTTGTGAGTATTAGCGACCAACGAACGACACAGGAAAGCTCGAGACAATATATTTGTGGTCACCCATCCCATGACCGACCATTGCAAAGTTACTTAACTTTCGCATCGCAGATTAACCATTAACCATCAAGCTATAAAATTTAATATCATATAATGTAATAAAGAAATCGTATAATAATTTATAAATCATATGTACTTGTTCCCAGATGGATGGCCCCCGTGAGTGTTGCTGTCCACGCGCCAGCTGACGACCTAAACCCCACTGTGAACAGCATCAGATACCTCCGTAATTGCCTCGGGAACGACCTTATCAAACAATTCGTAACATTTCACGTCTTCTTCAGTAACAAACATATACCAGGAAAGGTGAGTACCGATCTCATAAGATTAATAAAAGTTAACTTGAAGTCTGTGATAGATTCGAAAACTTCAACTCAATTCCCAAAATGTATAATATACATAGAACGTCACGGGTTCATTCGTTTTGACTTTGAATAAACTCGTTTTCTAATTTATATAATTTAGATCACAGTGAATTTTTGGATAAAATTTTTTCCACTTCAACATTCTTTAATATTTTTTATATCAATCCGCACAAAACCGAAACGTTTTAACATTCAATTATCACTTTTAACAACAAACCGTTATTGAAAATTATATCAAGAGACAATTAAATTCACGATTATACTACTACTTTCTTTGAAAGCAGGTAGAACTAATTAAAAACCGGATCAGTCAAAGTAAAGACTTTAAAATTATTTGCTGATCAAATTGAGTATATAAAAAATAATTTTCAACAAAAAATATGAATAAACAAGATTTAATAAACATCTTTCCGCTCATTACACAGCGGCTGATTGCTTACAATAGACTCAATCTATAAAACAAGAAATTTCAATGGAAAATAATAAAAAAATCTTTCAAGGAGTTACAGTAAAAGCAGACATACTAAATTATGCAACAACATTATAATTAATTCCATATTTATACAAAAGCATAAATTACATGGTTAAAGAGATTAAACAACTTTCGAAAAGATAGGTCACCAGACAGATGGTCCATAATTGTCACCTTGAGCCACTCCAAGTTTTTAGGGGTTACTAAGCCGTTGATTGGTCTTTATCTAGAATTCTCGACTAAAATAGATTGAGGCAATCATAAGGAAACGATCTATGACTGATTCCAATCACTGAGCAGTGTACCACAATTCACCCTAATATTAAAAATTGGTGTTAATTGTCCACAGATACCGGAACCAGATAAGTTCCTTGCGGTACCATACAACTGCTCTGTCCCTCCACCGTTCAAGACCAAAACTGGCGACACTTACATGCAAAAGAAGAACCTATTGTATCCAATTAACGTCGCAAGAAATGTCGCTAGAGACTCGGCCCTGACACACTTCGTATTACCATCTGACATAGAACTGTATCCGAGCCCGTTCCTAGTACCTCGCTTCCTGAATATGATTGCCAGAAATGCGAAGCCATTAAATTCAACGAAACCAAGAGTGTTCCCTATTAGTATATTTGAAGTGGACGCCAAAGTTAACGTAAGTATGATACGATATGCATTTCTGGATCTTGAATCTGCTAATGATTAAGAAACACTGGTTTCCTTAAAATGATCTTGTGTTTGATTTCTTTTTAATATAGTATCTCATGTTATTACAGTGGCGTCTTAATAAATTAATACTTACCAATATTTCAATTATTCTATCTTCTAGTAACAAGAACTTATGATAAGAGAGAAGTAGTGTTATCAAAACGCCACTGGTCTAACATTAGCAGAAAATATAGCTTCAAGACTTTTTGTGATCTGGAAATTTACAGATTGACTTAATTGTGTCATCAAGAAATTTTTTGGATTTATTAATTATTTGTTTGTAGCCAAATATAATTCTACCATCAAGTGGATACCGCCCGTATCAGTACTAGAATTATGTTTGGTTTGGATCTTTATGATGTAACTAATAGGTACACATCTCAAGGTTTTCAATTTTCTTAACACAAGTGCTTAAGACCGGAGGAATGTTTCTGTAGACATATCAACTACTTTTATATTGTCTACAAATAATTATGAGAATAAGCGTCATAAGGCTAAAGATTGTTCAATTCTGTGTTTATGTGACACTAGAAAAGAATTCCTCGTGAATCATATAACAATATATTTCTCAATTAGTTAAATGTTTTACTCGATTATGTTAGTAGTAAAAATATGTCCAAAGATAAATAGACAGTCGTTAAAATGTTTGAGGACTACTAATCGGGCCAAATATTTAAATTCTGTAAACAATTCCAGGTGCCATCAACAAAAACGGAGCTACAAAAGATGTTGACCAACAAAACTGCCATACCATTTCATAAGTTCGTATGCCCAGACTGCCATAACATACCAGAGCGACAACAATGGATTAACGCAAAGGAGACTAACCGTAAGCATAGAGCTATCATTTTTCCTCAATCTATTGGTTAACTAAAACCTGAACACAATTTAAAAACGTTCATCTGTATATAATATACGTTGAGAATTCCTTGATGAGTAGACAGATAGAATCAATTTAACGAATCAAATAACATTAGATTATAAAAAATGGCATTGGTTCATGATCAATAAGAATAAAGCAAAGTAACAAAGTATGCCCTTTAGCAGAATTTTTCGTATTTTACAAAAGACTCTTGATGCAAAAAAAAAATAACCATAAAATAAGATACACAGTCGTTAAAAAATTAATTAAGATATAAAAAATCTCCTCCGTTGTATCGTCAAAATCATATTACAATTCATTTCGATTTCAAGCTTTATTAGAAAAGATAAACAAGCTACGAGTAGACAAATTATATTAAAAACAAAACAAGCATATGAGTTCTAACAGTATGGTTCAAATGCATTGTCAGTTAAAATTTGAATTTCCCTTTACCCTTTAAGCCATTTTTCGACCAATATAAGTCAATACGACTCAATTTGACGTTTTCTCTTCTGTCATCGTCAATTTGCGTTAGACGACCAATGTTTTAAACCAAATACTAACTTTAGTCCACGGTTTGTAATAATAAGTCAGTCATTGTCTAACAGTATTTCGAATTACTTACTTGTTCGTATATTACAATTTCTTGACAGTTTCATATTCGGTGAGATTAGTTTTCTGTTCATTAGTAAGTGATCTTGGGTTTCTTGACAATAAAGTAGCAGCGATAACACTGTAGTAATTAAACGTTAGTTATCGTGAACTATTTATTCAGTGTGCACCGTGTTCTCCTTCGTATGGGGCATTCTAATTGCGTATTATGGTTCAATGAACCCGCCAGTTCCCAGACGTCCGACTCTACCGTCAATTTGCAAAATCACAAACTCAATGCTTCACTCCCAACTGGATCGAATTGCGTTCACGTTATTACCGTAATTTCATGTTTAGCCGCATTATTGAGTTCGTTTTATTTTCTGCATAAATGTTACACAAAGGAGAAGAACTGAAACAAATTGAGTAATAATATTACTTATAAAATTCTTGTTTATAATTTTTTTCATGCTAAATTTATATTTTTATTTAAGTACGTAAATTTAAAATATACATTGTGATGAACTTTAATACTTTGCTGTTTGAAATAAATATTTTACCATAACCATGCCCGCGTATGATGTAGCTTTCCGTAGATGAGAGTTATTAAAATCATTTCAGTAATTTCGGGAGTCTATTCAATGCAAACAAACAAACGAAATCTTTCCTCTTTATAACATTAGTAATATTTTAACAATTAACCACTCAATATACAAAGAAAAAATATGTAGGAACACTTACCTAATTTTGATTGCAAATTTCAAATATGTTTTAAAAAACTTATAAAAGGAGAGGTTTTAGCAATAAAATTGAGAATAAAAATGTATTATAATTTACTTTTAAGACCTAAATTATTTAAAACGCTTTTACGATTGTCATAGATTTCAAACGTCATCAAAATTATTATATTATTAACTATTATCCCGAGAGCGTAAATTATGGCCTACCTCCTGTATGATGTAGCAACTCGGAATTTTTCAAATCGGTCCAGTTCGTTCGGAACCTATTTGATGCAAACAAACAAACAATCAAATCTCTCTTTATAAAATTAGTGTAGATTTCCTTTTCCTTTATTTGTTACTCTAGAAATGCTTAGGAATGGGACTACAGGATAACTACTACACCTATTAATTATGTTGATTATATTTATAGAGATGGACGTATTCCACGTGGGAAAAAGGCGTGGGAAGTTCGTGCACTGGGAGCCCATATTTATCGGCACTCATCAAGACCCTCACTACGATGACCGACTCAGCTGGCAAGGCAAAAAGGATAAAATGACACAGGTTAATATTAATATTAACATATTATTAAATAAGAAACATGACGAAACAGTGGTAAGAGCGTTTAATGTTTAAACGATGAAACGGAGATTCTCAATAAAAGATATTTATTTCTTTCGATAATTTTATCCCAGAATTTTGATTTTTTATTCATTTTTACTCTGTGGAGCCGATTTTGAAGCACATATCATCATTTTGTAGAGTAGTTTCGCAGCAGTAATTTTTAGGTGTTGACAGATGAAATTATCTTAAAAATTGAAAGAATTTTGAAATACCGTTTATTGACGATCTTCGATCTGTTTTTTTTTCATACAGATTTGTTATTCTTATTGAAAAAGGCTTTAAAAATCCACTTTGTCCATGGCAAAAAATTATAATCTCGAGATTCGAAGCCATTAGTATCTGCTGTTAACACCAATAGCACATACCAATCTTTTACGCAGATTGGAGCCTATTGTGAAGTCAAGGTTCCTTCTGCCCTTGTTTTTTTTTCCCATGAGAGAAATCATGTGCATTAAGAGGTATATAATAATCCTAGGATAGCCATACCTATGATTTACGAATTAATATGACACCTGGGGACCTATTCTATTTGTCCGTCGAACGAAAATACGGAAAATTGCGAATCGTCCTTATTCTTAAAATCATGTCCATGAAGATTATATGTATATCAGAGGCAGCGTCAGGTTCTACCTATCTATCACCAACCTATTAATTTCATGCTGAGTTCAGGCCTTCCCTATGAATGGGCCTAGGAGAATGGGCCATGACTCAGATTTAGCCGGGACCAACGGCTTAAGTACCTTCTGATGAGAATCAAGGAATATCTCGAAATTTTTCTATCACCGGGCATTGCGCAATTGCGAAATCTAACAACCATATCGCAGACCCAGCGCACCATCGTTAGATTCAAATTAGCATATTAGAAATAGAAGAAACATCGCTTTCAGAGAAACAGAATAGGCCTTCTGATAATGTGTTAAGTTATGTATCATACATATCGTATGCTGAGAACGATAGTGACACAATGCAAAAATGCTATTTTCAGTAATGAGCGTTTAAAGTTCAAGAAATTGTAATCCGCCCCTCTAAACAACTCCACTACGCGACCTAGCAGTTTCTATGCAAACTTAACAAAGAAAAATGGTTGACAAAAGTAAAAAATACGTCGTTTTTGGTTAGTGACATTGTCATTCTCAACGTGCGATATAACTCTTTAGTTAAGACGACCCATTTTAATATTATTTCAATATTCCAGGGCTACATCCTCTGCGTAAAAGACTACGATTTCATGATATTGAACAACGCATTTCTCATACACAAACCAGGCATAAAACATTACGTGAAAAATCCCAAAAGGGACCATATTGTGGCCAATCAGAACAAGTATATCATGAGTGTAATCATGCCGGAACTTAAGAAGCTCTTCGGCACCAGAAGCGGCTGTTCACTGTGATGAAAGTTAAAGTTTATTATTATCGATAGAAAGAAATCACACTCACTTTGAAGACAACGAAGAATAACATAAAATCGAAAATATTGGAACAAGTGAAATCCAGAATTGTTTCAGACCAAAAGAAACCATTATTATTACAACTTACCTGTGTTAACGAAAATCTACATATCAATTTTAACCGACCGCTTATAACTATTTGAAATTTATTACAAGGAGGCTTACTCGAAAGTATAAACCCATAAAATCAATTAATTATGGGTATTTAACGGAATTTTATGATAACTAAAAAATGCAAACTGCCAAAACGTATTAATTCTAAATATTCATGTTATTTCGCTATATACTACATAAATTCTTAGCAATAAAACTATTCACACCTTACGAAATAACCTATAATAATGAAATATGCGAAAATTTCTGAATATGTATATAAGCTGATTTTTCTTTAACGCAAAATCTATTGAACGAATTTGGATAGAATATGGTATATGAATAATTCTCAGCCTCGAAAAATATATAAAACTCTTTTTATCCTACTAAACGTTTCCCTATGGATAAGTTCACCTTCAAGGGATCGTGTAAATTGCGCCGGAGAAGCTGCGGGCGAAGAACTAAACCTTTATAAATGATATAAACCTCTCTCAAATATACAGCTTATATTTCTAATAATTTCGCGAAGACTGAGGTCTAAACAGACTGAGTAGTTTAGCTACCAATAAAATATACTTAAAATATCTTCCAATTTAAATAAATACGCGTTCATGATATCAATGAGTGTATATTTTAAAAATAATGAAAATTATTTCATTAATGATATATATTGGCAAACAGGCACCAATTAATAATAACAGGGTGCGTATTAGTATCCGCCTGAATGAATTGCTTGAATTAGTTACTACAAACATATCATATTAATTAATTAATTAGTATTGTAATTTAAGATATGATATCTCATAACATAGGTCTTAAAACCATTACTTGAATACTACTAGATAAGAACAAGAATTAGATATCTGTTTTATTATATAAAACAAATGAGAATGCTTTTTAAAATTATATTATTTTGTTAACATAGCACAAATTTTGATAAATAAAAGATCACTGTATTATAGTGCTTGATAATTTCTATAGTATTTAAAATAACAAAAAAATATGCTCATTAGGTATCCACGAAAACATAATATGCAAACTGCTATTTGTATGCCTTATTTTCACGGATAAGTAACGACTAACAAGCTGTCTTTATATAGATAAATTATCTAACAATGAAACTAGCCCACAGAAATTACCTACAATAAGAATCATAAATATGCAAAGTGTAGGGGATGAATTTTAACTATAACAAAATATGTAACGCCATGGAAATAAATAAAAGTAACCTTTTTCATTTCAAGTTTAATCTGCTTATTAATAACATAGGTCCCGTTTTGACACTAAGTATTATAAAATTAATTAAAAGAACGGCGTCCATTTACTTCAGTCACATTTCGAACTTATAATTGTGTGTCCTAAAGAAACTTTTATATTATGCAAAATGCAATTTATTTATCGACTTAAACAATACATAATATAAGCATTTTTTAAATATTATATTGTAGGATATTGTGATAGTATGACGGCACGTATAATACCAAATATACTAAGCTATATATAAATGCCTAGCATATATAAATAAAGCTTATGATATCGAGGCCTTATTATTTTAAAATACGAATAAAATCATTCTTTTTCAATAATTAATAACATTCATTTTCAAAATAGCTAAGGGTTGTTAAGTTTCATTATAAGAAAACGTGTAATATTATTTTTTATTTGTATAAAATAACAGCTAGCATCTGTATATTCTGTTAGCGTTAAATCATCAACATTGTACATATTATTATAGTTACTAGTTATAATAAACGAGGCGATTTTCTCGTAAAATCGAGGCGATCTTAAAACGAAAAAAGATATCCCATAAAATGTTTCATTGAAAAACTCAAAAGTTATGGTTGCTACCATAATTTTTGAGTTTTTCGTTTAAATTTAGTCCTTGTGAGGTTATGGAAAAGTAGTGTTTTTTTGCATATAAACTGTTTACGATACTCGCTTTGTAATTATCAACAAAACTATACAGCAAACAGGGATTTATTAAGATTAAAATATTACAAATTTACTTAGTCATTCCTCATTTAATTTCATTTTTAATTCAAAAGAATCAGTAAAGGATGCTCCTATTTTTTTATATTTTGACATTCTTGTTTCTTATTACTCATTACTCATGTTGTCATGATAGGTTTTAATAATTATGTATAAGTTATATCCTAAAGTATACACATCAAGTGTAACTGAGCCTTACTATATAAGAGATTCTGTATTTTAATATAAAAAAATAGTGCTTAAGCTCACCACGTTCGCTTAGAAGTTTATTTTAGTCATAGAATTTGTATTATTTATTAGTGATATTATGATGTAAATATATTCTGTTTTATATTTAATTTAGGTACTCGTAGCTTTGACTTTCCACAGTCTTTCCCGATTAAACTCCGCTCAAATACTTCCCAAACGTTTTGGATATATAATACATTTTTATAATGCATATCTTAAATTGAGATAGTAAAATTAGCATAATATCCGTGACATTAGTCAAAACAGTAATTTTTTCGGAAGCTTCGTCAATCATAAAAATTACGGAAGAATGCGTCGACAGATAATCAGTGTAATGTGAACATATGCCATGCATGCATGCGTGTGTCATTATTCAAAAATAATAATAAGTATTGAAGATAGAGTCCAAATTCCAAACGCCCATAGCGTTTACGCCGCCGTCAAACTAATGCTAAATCATATCTGACAATCAAACTAGATGAGATTGCTTGCTAAGATATTGGAAATACCAATGAGTATTTCCATCTCTTTACTAGAATGTCTCCTCGTCCATTCTTCATACCTTAGCTGCGCACTCACTCTTAATTTAATCTAAACACCTCAAATACTTTTGATAAAAATGAATTGTATTTAGTTTCGTAAGTTTCAAATTTCCATTAACATAGAAAAAAGTATTTTCACTTGAAAATTGCCCAGTTGATAAGAGATAAAATATATCTTTTTAAAGACTTACTACTCTTCATTTTTCAGTTGATATATAAAGATTGTATTAAGATTTGCTAAATTATTGTTAATATAATAAGTATTACTGGGTTTTGGTTATGGAAAATGTGGTGAGTTTTCACTTACGGCACTGGGTCCACAAGTGCCTCCTAGTTTGTAGTGCAATATATTGTGAAGTCTTTTGATGTGATTATTATGGAAGTGTATTTATCGAAAATATTGTAAGTTAACTTTTTTATCGTCAGTTTTCATAAGAATCTACAGGTAATAATGTAATCGATCTAAATTTGAAATGATTAAAAGAAATTAAATTCCACAATTGGTTTTATTTATTGCAACCAAAGCAAAATGTAACAGGACTCTTAAGCCGAATTTATGATACGACAGTAGTTGTATTAAATATAAAACAAGTCTCACGATACTAATTTCACACGAGCAAACTACTGTCGTAATGGCGTTCAATCAACATCTCTGACCCTCGTATAGTCGAGAGAAGTAATTAGGTACTTGAGAAAACATACGACATAACTTAAGCGAATAATTTTCACCAATAGACAAGAATGTGAATTAAGTTATAATTAATAATAGCTAATACTAATAGTATTCTAACATTAACTGTTCATACTTTGCCCAAATTCTTGTTTATTTGGTAAAAATATTTGCTGAAGTTATGGCATGCACTGGCTCCATCGACATCGAAGCTTAAAGCATGTGCAGATGGTGTCGCCACACTAGTTTCGATATTTCGATATAATTTGTGCATCACCCGAAACTACTTTAGTGTTACGAAACTGATGCACGCATTGCGAAAGTGTACGTTTACACGTGTTTACGTGTGTACGCAAAGGTTTCTTGGAAGAAATTACTTATTAGTAATAAAGCCGCCCATAATACAGTTTCATTGATTTAGTTCATTTGTTTTTGTAATGTATTGGTGTACAATAAAGCATAATTCGTTCTTTCACGTGCAACTGCTAACGAAATTAGTGAGATGAAAGGACTTTCATGCGACTGCCTCGTTACCTAAATCAGGCTTAAGACCAGCAAATCTTGCCTATGATATTATAATATTACTACATTATGTTAAAACATGCTGACAATATACACAAGCCTATATAAATTAATATAGTATCACAGGTATTCCTTTTACCCGTTGACCGTTTGTAAGGTCCCGGGGTGTAATAATGACTGTCTGGTGGTCTACTGGAGTCCCTTTGCCGGGCGAACTCGTCGTAAGTCGGAATACGACTTGTCGTCTCCGGCGGATCAGGTATACCAGTCCACCGCTTCTTCTCCGGTTCTTCAGCCGTTTTGTTCTCATATTCCGATTGTTTCCCGACATTATCCCCATTCCCGTTTTTATCACCGTCACCATTGCCATTTCCATTTGATAGATACATAGATCCCGTTACTGAGTCCGGGTAATCTGGATAAATTATTTGGTACCTCGCTAAGTAATTGTGTGCCATTTGAAAATATCGTGTCCGAATGGGTTGTAAACGTCTTGGAACTTCTCCAACAATTTGTGTTAATCGCCAACAGCCTAACAAAGTATAATTAATATTGAATATAGATATAAACATTACAGCGTTCAAAATTGAGTTTATTTGTTTGCCATTCATATTTACACATTTATAATTTGCATTACGTTGTTCAAAGAGTAAAAGTACGTTTATTCTATGATTTTCTCTATGGTTTAATCTCTTAAAACGCATAGCGTACTGTACTTAGATCATATAATCATAGACACTCATAGAGTCTAGGAACAGGAGTAATTTGCTTATATTTAAATACTCCGTCCAAAGAAAAGTTTGAGATGATTTGGTCTTATAGAGAGAGTTATTTAATAGAGAGTCTTAAGACCATAGTGAGCCAGACCTAGGGCGGCCATATATTAAAGGCGGTCTTTAATGATTTTTGTTTTATTTAAAATATATATATAAATTAACGTTTTGACTGTGATAAATCCCTTAAAAGTATGATGTTTTCTCATTTGAATTACGCTTATTTGGGGATTATTTCTTTGTACAAAATTAGTTGAAAGTTACTAATTTTAAGTGATCGGACCCTCTTAAAACGTACTATACTCCATTCATTATAGCATTAGACAGAATGAAAATAAGGTTCTTTTTATGGTATACTTTGTGACAAAATGTCAACAATCATGTTACTCTTAAGACTAACGGCTAATTTGCTACATATCCACTTAAATAGTAGCTGCTATACTTAACCGTAGTCTTTTAAGCTATATATTAAACAAATTTATGAGTATTTGACTGACTTAAAACATTTAATAATTATTACAATAAAAAGTGTTCATCTTAAAGAACCTAAAGAAGCAGGGTTTGATTGTTTCGGCATGATTCTCATGTCACTATAACTCTACCAAATTTTTAACGTTGCCTAATCCCTTCCAAAGTTTCAGGCAGTACAGCTTTTTAATTTTGTCAGATTATGATTTATTCATAATAGTCAAAATATGTAATCTGGGATTCTCATTCATTGTGAATGCTACTGCCTTTCTTGTTGTTTTGTCATTTTCGGTGATTGAGTAATTACTGTTTTATTGTTGTTTTCTTATAGTTTTGTTTTAGTTGTTATCTTTATGTTGTTAAGTTTTGCTAAATTGCGATTCCGGTGCAGGCCCGATTGGCCTACAAAAATTAAACTCTAAGCCCTCATGCCTATCCTCAACCATTGACATTTCAGGAAGTTTTTCCAATGTCTTCATCAATAGTCTAACTAATTACACTTACAATTAGAATTTATCAAAACAACAGATAGATAGTTTCAGTTTTAGTTCCATTTTGGCTTGGGAGTAAAAGATGAATTTATAAAATGATGGCCTCATCTCAATCCCGAGGTATCGTAAAAAAAATTGGTAAATTGCCCGGCTCTTTCATACTACCTAATGTTCAAAGTTTTTAAAAATTCTAATACATATATTTTTTAAATATCTTGAAAATAAAATGTTCTGTACTGCTGCTTCTATGACCCTCTTTTTTCTAATGTTATAATGAATGGAGTATAGGTAGATAGGTATCCCCACCAATTGGAATCCCCACGAAACTTCCGTATTCACAAGTAGCGTCTACAAATTCCCAAATTACAGGAACATCAGACTAAAACAAATCGCCTGCTGAATACTGATGAGGAACGTGAAGTAAGGAAGTTTATCCGCAGACATTACGTGCGACGCATACGCATCGAACTTCTCCCTACTTGGCTAAGATTTATTAAGCTCTTACTGTTAGACATACTGTTATTATAATGGATTCTACCTAGGCTGGTCTGGTAGTAAATTTCAATTAAAACAAAAACACTGCTCTTTATCGCATATAAGGTTGAAGTTGTCCGGTTCTACAGCTCTCCGTTCTAGAATTTATGACGAGATACGAGTAACACAGATTAGTTACTAGTGTTTAACAACGTCGATGAAGTGACAATAACTCTATTCTGTAGTTACGCTTTATTTTCAGGGAATGATAAATGAATATACGAGGAAGACAAGTTAAGACGTTAATTACACAGTTATTTCTAAAAATAAATATATTAGCTTCTAGCTCTCTCCCAACGATGTCGCACGGGTGATTTATACGATGAAGGGATGTTACTTTTATGCTAAAGAATCCAGACTTCATCAAAACTATTATATTTTTGATTAATTTTGCATTCACAATGCCATACTAAAAATTATTCTTAATACAAAATGCTTCAAAAATCCACTTGGTCCCTGGCACCCTGAGATGGGAATCGAACCCACGACCTTTCGCAATCCGAGCTACTGCTCTAACCACTGAGCTACCCAGAGCCTAACAGGACCAACGAATCTTTCAAGCACTTGTTACTTTTCGCTACTACATAAAAAGTAACAAGTTTTTCAGTAAATGTAAAATATAGTGAATAAAGCAACTAAATCAAACTTTTATTTTTATTATTATGGAATAATAGAATTCAAGATTTCCTAACCAAGACTTAGCACGTATGATACATTTGGAGCTTACAATAAAGGTATATTAATTCTGACTGCATTTGAACCAGTACCAAGATTCTATTGTCCAAAACATCCATAATAATGTAAGCAGAAATAATAACCGGTTTTTTGTCTATAGCAGGTATAACAAATTCATCAACAACATCCTTGACTTTCCGATGACATTGAAGCTGATTTCCTTTTAATTTTAACGCAAAAGGTTATAGAATTAATTTAATTGTGATCAGTACCAATATGACCTATTAGTAGTTCTTCAACACGTCACAACAAACTTATTTATACATACAAACGGATATGTACCTATGAAACTTCGGCCAATTGAGAGTTGGACTACCGCACCAAGGGTCCTGTACAAATATTAAACTTAAATTACCATACATTTCAACTAACTAACAACAGTGGAAGATAGTTTCGAATAATTGTATTTTAGTAAAAGTTCTTTAGATCTAATTTATTTTTTGAACAAAATAAAAACTTCAATCTTTTTAATCTGTTTATAACTTAACGAAGCGAGTGGGTGAGTAAATGTCTTTGTCTATTTTTAGAATATAATGAATTATGCGAATAGAATAAATTATTATAAACCCTGACAACTTTGTAATCGTTATAATTGGTTTTCATATTAATGTTTCAACTTTTTGATTAGAATGATAGCGGTGCGCGATAGCATCTCTTTCCATATCGGGGCGATTGTCAACTATTCTCCCTCACGCATGTCTCGAGGAGCCATGGAGATTAAGAAGTCCTGACACTTTTTCTTTTCATTTTGACTTCTTCTTCTGGTATGCCCATTCCATCCAATTTGGACGCTTCAGACCAGTGCAGCAGAGTAGGGTGGCGGAAAGCTGTTTTAATGATTGATGCATTTTGGCAGCGCTGGCTTAAATAGTACCTGCCAACTTTCAGTCCAAGAAAAAAGAGAGAAACGTACTATTGAATTACGGTACAGAAATTATAAAAAAAAGTTGTAGAAAGGCGTAAGGACAGGTGAAATTTATCTGTGATATTAGATATAAGTATCTAGTGTAGGTAGTGTGTTATATATAGTTAAGAAAATAGTAAATAGTTTCTTTTTACCCGACTGCGCGACGCAAAGGAACAGAACTCAAATTTTACCAATCAAATCTTCCAAGGGGCCCCGACTATGAGTCGTTCTGTTCTGCGTCAGAATTTATGATTTGTTTTATGTGTGTATCGATTATAAAACTATTTAAATTGTGTAGTTATTTAGTATTACTTAACAGAATTCTAAACCACTGGGCTTGTTTCTTTCTTTTTAGTTTTTATTTAATTTAATTTGTTAATTTTTTTTTATTCGTTTTTACGCAGTCGGGTTTTTTGTTTTTCTTTAATTACTTTATATAATCTTCTTAATGAAAAATGCTTAAAAATTCATTTTGTCAAAGTATTAGTAGTAAAGTATTTTTCATTAAGAATATTTTCCAGTATAGCATTGTGAAAGCAATATTGATTAAATATAATAATTTATTTAATGTTTTTATTACAATTAAATCGAATTTATATATTACTAGTTGTCTCGGTGTACTTTGTAGCCTTCTCACAGTTTAAATCTTCCCTGGACTTCGACACATATTTCAAAACCATGATTTTGGTTTAAAAAACCAAATAGGTCTAATAATCTTTGTTTTTGGATTATATGTTTCGGGATTTTTTGGATTATATGTACATGTATAATCCCGAAACATGGCCATACAACTTAGCACAAAGAACATTATTAATATGTCAAAAAACAATTTCACGTAAATTGAGATTTTCATACAAATATTTGAACAATTTGTTTTCAATTAATATTCTACAACCCTGAAAGCTTATACGTGCCGTCCCGGCGTACTCACTCTCTCTCTCTCTCTCACACACATTACGTCTCACACATTACGTCTCGTTTCCTAGAATACACTTTGATTTCGCCGACGCGCGCACTTGACTGCGTATGAGTTTACTTGTGATTAAAACAATTTAAGATTAAACAGGTACATACCTAGAGGCAGCGTTCTAATCACTCTCTCAGCTCTCACTTGTCAACATTACCTACACTTCACCTCCACTTTATCAGTCCAAGGTCTCGATATGCCGGCCACCGCATAAAACACACATCTCCATTCGATTCGACACAGACCGTGTTACTCTCGACGTAAAATCATATCCTCTCTCGATGGAATAGGTGTTCGGCCGGCCTTCCTGTATCACACTTGTATGTAACCGATTCACAAGTGCCGCGAAGCACTGTTAAGAAGGAAGACGTCGAGGGTTTTCAGATCTTCCTGACACGTGGCGCTCGTCATAAAGCCGCCGAGCCGCAGCAAGATCACCGTCACAAGCACCAACACACAATATCATCTCGTAATATTAAGCATTTGAGTACGAACTCATTGCACTGACCGCACACAAACACAACACACAGGTAAACAGAAAGAGTATGAAAAACAAACCAAAAGTCCCGAAAGAACGAAAACGTAAGTTGACCTTCTAAATTCTGGAAACTCACAAGTACACCGATGAAAGTCTCCGACGCGACTGAAGCGATGACCAAAACTACATAGGTAATTATTACAACTCGAACACCAATGTAGGTACCTGAATCAAAAGTGCACCGATTTAGGGTTCCGCATCATCAAATTCTGTGTTAGGTAACCTACCTAACAAAAAATCGTTATTTTATTATTTAATTAAACAATGAAATTTCAATGAAACTTATTATACTATTTTTTTTACTGACGAAATTGATAATTAGGCTGTTTACTTATTATTACAATTTTATTTACGCTTTTCACGGTTACAAAAGAAAAAAAGGCCATAATATTATAAGTGGTTACCTAATTTAAGACCAAGTCATTAACAAAATTATAAGGCATAAAAATTATTGATTAAATTAGAAAAGAAAAGAAATATTATTTATTATTAGACCTTTCCATTACAACTAACCTTTATTTAATTATCATTGAAACTAAGAATAAGCGAGATATTTAGATTATTAATATCATTGTATAAGTCCGTGTTTTATTGTTTCGTGAAAATAACACTGCTTTATGAAAAAAATAACAAAACTTCAAAGCAATTAATCTACAGAACCTTACTGCCACATCAGAAACCCGAGTTTCTCAATACACATCGCCGTCGATTTTATGTCTCTGTCGCTCCTTCTTGCATAGACACCAAACATTTTTGAAACACCAGTAATCACAAGATTGGTGTATTTTTATGGTTAAAAATCATGTCAAAACTAATGTGAGCAATAGTGCAGATATCTAACTTCAATCAAAGTATTTGCAATTTCTTTTTTATTTTGACTGTATTATTAGAGAAGTTTTCTTAACAATAGTTTTTGAAACACCAGTAATCACAAGATTGGTGTATTTTTATGGTTAAAAATCATTTACTACTAACTTTTTCTTTGTTTTGAAATAATAAATTACTCTCGGATGCATATTTATTCTAGGCATTTATCTTTAGATTTATTTAACTTCTGTTATTTTTTAAACTAGTTCGGCACATGGAGTCGATGACCAAATACAAAACAACAGCTGTTTTTAGGGTCGTCAGCGTACAGTTTTACTTCGAAGAAAAAAAGCTAAATATCTAGGTCATGTATTGGGTTTCAGACTTAGTGATCATTTTTCTGGGTTCTATTCATCATACCGTATGTGCCATATTCGGGATTATACAGGTATTACCAAACACGCTGTATAATTATGTCTTTGTAATTATAAAATTATGATTTATTGCCTCTGTTGTTGTATATCTAAACCAATATAAATAAAAAACAATTTTCCGTAACATTTTTAATAATTTTAGGACTTTTACTTTCTGAGAAGGCTTGTAACTTATTGCTATTCTTGCACAGCAATCATATATTTGTTATATCTAACGCAATAATTGCATTCTTTTTTCAATTACCTCCAAGAAAGGCGTCTTTTAAATGTAAGTATATCTTTCACTTATCAAATCATGATGTATACCAAATTACATAGCAAACTAGATATCACAGACATACGGACGGTCAAACACACGAGTAAACGAGATTTCGTTTTTTCCACCGGCATTACATTTTTGCCCAAAGTTTTTTTTTTAATTATAAATACAAATTTATAATTACTCACACCCAAAAGTTGAACATTCATTGAAAAAAAGTTGAAAGTTAACAATGTTATATTCGAAAGTTAACTGTAATATGTAGTCAATTTTCCAGTTTAATTTACTAATTGGCACATCAAATAATCTATTACTCTCTTAAAGATTATAAAGAGAAAAATATTCTAAATTAATATAATATAATCATCGGAAATACTAATTCAATCATGAAATTTATATCACCTATGGAAAGCTACATCATAAGCGTGTAACACAAGCTATAATTTCAGTCGCAGGAAAACAGTTCGTACAATATACAAAGAACAGCATCTATTTTAGAATTTAATCGAATGACACATTACAGTGTAGTTAACGATAAAATAAACAAAGATGTTATGGGAAAACGAAGACCCGGAATATTCCTTATATGGCAGTGACTGTATAGTTCAATAATGTCGTTTAGATGATTATCGCGAATTGTCGAGAACATAGGAATGAGCAATAAATTTTCCGTGAGCTTAATAAATGCCTTATTAAGCTCACTAAAATAAAGACTAGCCGAATCAAAACAAAATAAATTCGTTTAATATAAAAATATAATAAGTAAACATTTGTTTTACTTATAAAGCTAAAGCTATCGGAGATTTTAATATTTCGATGATTCTAAATTCTAATACTGATTGGTATTTCTTAAAGACGCACATTAGAATGAATTATTAGATGTTACACTGAAAATTATTAATATCAATTTTCGTTATTATTAAAAAAATAATAAGTAAAATTGAATTAAAAGTTAGTTACGGCTCATCACTGTGAACGCACTCATATCATTCAACATTATGACACAGATAATTTTTTGTCGCTATAAATATAAAATTACACACTATAAAATAATCTATATAGGTATACATACATTGTGTAAAATAACGTCGCTTCCCGCTTTTCCCGCTGCTTTATGCTGAGATCATTATCATCAATATAAAGATTCAAGGAAAAGGTTTCAATTTTTTATATACAGGGTGATACAAGGGGAAGCTTAAATTCCCCTTGTGTCACTCTGTATATAATCGTTGACAGAACAAAACAGCGGTTTATTTTCTCGTGTCGGAACAATATACAAAATTGTATTACGTAAATCCTCCCCACAAAGTCCTGGCACATAATAATATAACACCTTATATTCGTGACTTTCAGAACAACATCGTATTTGTCACTTTTTGGGCTCATTTTTATTTACAATTTATTGGGATTCAACTTTCTTATTGAGCATTATTAATAAAACTTTAAAGTTTCTATAATATTAATATTAATCAAATTTCAATAAGACCTTTTAATGCTTAATGCTCTTTTATAAGTAGAGATAATTTACTATTTAAATAATCTAGCGGCTATTATTTACAATCCAATGCTTTTACTACTTGGGTATTTCTTAACCCTTTCGCAATATTTAACGCATACATATATATCAACGAAAGCGACGTCTCAAAGGCTTCGACGCCGAGCAAATTGTTTGACTACAGATTCATCACGGTCACCGATTTTTAACATATAACTTCTTACTTTATTTCTTAATGCATTAGCGTAAAATAACAACAAGCGCCAGAAACGAAATAGTGGTAGACATTAGTTTAAATTAACGGTATAATTATATACTTCCTATATATGTAAATATGTAAAGCCTACATTAAAATGTAGCTTTTTTTTTAAATCGAACAAGTAACTTCTGAGCTTTTAACCATAACAAACAACTTTTTTTTTATAGTACTAGCGATTTTTATACATATAGATTTAAAACCAACACACACTTTATATTGTTATGCAATAAAATCATGTTAACCATCTATCGATATCCTAGAAAAAAGATTGACGTTATTTGTTTGAAATATCTACCATGTGTCACAGGGATGTCACAATGTAAAAATGTCATATTGTAAATAAAGAAATAGTGTACAGTCATAGCAATGTTATTTGTTTATTAAAATATTGTCTCCAATTTGTCCTTTCTTTACTACAGTGCCAAGATGCCCGAATTTTATAAAGCAAACCATTAATATTTAACACTTAGAATAATCTAATATATTAATCTTAAAATGCTATATGCGTAGTTATGCTCCTAAATAATTAAAAAGTAAACCTAAAAAATATTTCTCTCAACAAAATCACTTATCATACATATTCACGTACCTTAACAATTAAGGTTACATTCTACTTTTAATTTATGGTGTGATCGGAAAAGATCGACATAGCGGTAACCATGTCAGTTTCCCACACCAATATCAGCTTCTAACATGCCATGTCTACACGATAAGGGTAAGCGACCCAGAATTAAATTGACGAAGTGTACTTAACAACTCTTTGAAGCTACTCAATAATATCTTACATAAATGAATCAATTTATCCTAGTGAATCATTAAAATTATTTTAATAAAAAAAAGTTTATAAAAAAAGTTTGAACGTTTACCAGCCCTGGTAAAAGTTCTCGAAAGTACATACTCGGGTCACGTCCTGATGTAAGAGATGCGAGGTGCGGCTGAGATGGGTCGTTTCGCAACCCGGGTCTGTCCCCAAGGTCGTAACACCACAAAACTAACAGATCGCCATTCTGTGCTTGTCCAGACTTAAGTGCGAACGTCCAATACCACCTGCGAATATGAAAACTTTTATCATCCTGGCGTGTATATGCGCCATAGGTAAGTGATTGCATAATATATTCGATTAAGCTCAATTACGCCTAAAAAGTTTAATAAAGTGAAGAAATAATTATGCCTTACAATTTTCATATACTTTAGACAGTGTAATTACGAAGATAATATTTTTAATCATTAATAATATCAATATTATATTAGATATCAAAGAACCTGAGTTATATGGGTAATAAAAACTTATTGAAATCTCAATCATTAAAGTTTAATATTAGTTCAGGAGTTAGATTTTTTTTAATTCTTTTGTCTTAAAATTTTAAAATGCTCTACATTAAGAGACTTTACAAGCATTTATTAATATAACAGTGAATATTTTTTACTAATTCTAAAAAAATATAAGGGATATTTAATGAATAAATCAAAATAAACTGTGTAGTTAAAATTAATAAGACATAATAATAAAGCGAATATTCTAATTAGTGTCTTTTTCGCTTCGTTCGTTTTGAACAATAGGTAATTTTAACTTGATTACCAATAGCGTGGTAGTTAGTTCATTAGCAAATTTAATACAAATTTACATACAAAATAACAAGGCTATTGTAACTTCTAATTTATTGTAAAGATTATTTCTTACTTCTTCGTTACCTCGAATAAAAGTATCTAAGCAAATTTGGTGACGAGCCTATGTAATATTATAACTTTTTAAAAGAAAAATAGTTTTTACCTTTCATTCGTCTTTCCTGCTATTTCCAATAGCTACTTCTAAATTTGACGTAGGAACTTGTTAGTTGTTTGCATGAGTATCTTACAGAAAGAATAATATCGATTGTTTTTGTTATAACTTCACTCTTTTCAGTGTCTGTAGTACATAAAATTAGTCAATGTACATTAAAGCGAAGGCTTATTTGCAACGAATTAGTTGGACTTATGTTTGAAGTAATAACGAATTCTTTTAATATTCCAACTACGTGTCTATAATATCAATTGATCGTCGATAAAACCATTTGACTTTATTATGCAGAAAACATCGTACGAATTTACACGTTATTTTTGTATAACATACTAAAAATGCACATGTTAAATATATTTTGACTTACAACTTAAGGATATGACAAGAATAATAAAAAAAAAACATCAAAAATTTACATAAACACCGCATGTTATTTATACCGAAGCGTCCTCTTATCAGTGTCAAAGATTTAAAATACTAAATAATAAAGCTTTGAAACCTGCTTGCCTTTGTTTTAAATTCATTAGTTTTATTGTTTATTCATGCAGCGTACGCGCAATTCGGATCCTTCGGTCAAAACTCCGGTTTCCAACAAAGTTCGAGATTTGGAAGTTCCCAAAACACTTTCGGTAACCAACGGGGTGTTAACCAACAAAGTGCATTTGGCAGCCAAAAGGGAACCCAAAGTGCATTTAGTAGTCAACAGAGTGCATTCGGCAGCCAAAGAGGAAACCAACAAAACGCTTTTGGTAGCCAACAGAGTGCTTTTGTCGGTCAACAGAACAGATACCAGAGCCAGCAAAGTTCATTTTCAAACCAGCCCAGTAGGAGTCAAAGTGCTGGCTCATGCCGAGAGAAAAACGAACGATCCCCAGTTCCTGGTAGCTGCGACAGATACATTGAGTGTATTGTAAGTGAATCGTTTTAACAAATTTAATTGTTATGTTGTTGGTAATGCAGCAGTGCTATTTTGTTACAAACCCCGAAAACTCGTTAGCGAGCAAAGTGCTACTTGAGCATAGAGATACAATTAAATAACATCTACTTCAAAAGGTAATAAAAGTTGTTATATCATTGAAATCCTATGTCGTCACATAGCTGCTCTTGACGACGAATGACGGCTTTTTTAACATAATAGCTATTTATATACCAAGAGCCCAGAGCTCCCAAATCTATGTCATTTTAGCAAAACTGAACTTTTGAGGATTTCTAGTCTACTATGTAGTTAAGACAGTATGCGTAATTACTATCTTGAAACTGGGACCCTTTCACAATTATCACGAACTAAAAGTGTATAAAAACCTTACTCAGATATATTCCAAAGAATATTATCAAATGTTGATATTTATTATTTCCAGACTATTTTCGCGGGTCATTAGTTCATGACTTCAGCTAGACGTCATAAATTTAATTAAAAATTTTGGTATACTACATTATACTAGCAAGCCTTTTATATATTTACGTTTGAGTAATCACAGGCACCGGGAACAATATGCTGATTTAACCAAGATCTATGGCCATTTGCACCGTTTGTTATTTTTTTTCCTGATATTCTCAATTGACAGCCCTTTATAATTATCTGCAGCCAAAAATAGGTTATTTACGAAAACTACATAAAATAAAAAATGTCTTCATATATTTTATTACAAACCATAGTGTTACATATATGTTATATTATCCGAATCAAACTATGGACCCTGTCACAGGAAAATTTTTGAAAGAGGATGATTTCATATAAAAATAAAATAAGTGGTCTGGTAACTTAGTGGTCATGTTGGTAATTTAATATAATACTTTAAAATCCTTACAGAATGGGACTGCCGAAGAGAAGCTGTGTCCCGATGGTCTTCTCTACAACCCAAATGTGAACTTCAACGTGTATCCCTGTCAGTATCCTAATGAAGTGCAATGCCTCGAGAGATCTTCCCTGCGTAAGTATTATTTTTAATAGGTATCAAGGGATGATGACAATTTTTTTGTCTGTCCGTCGGGTAGATTATTAAATATTTTCAAATTGTTTGCGTAATAAATAAATTAATATTCATTGACTGAAATGTCGCATGACGTCACACCTTTGTAAATTTTCTACAAAAAATACATATATAATATTTTCTATTATCTGACTGACGGACTAAATAGATTATTTTTTATCCGGTTGCAAAGAAAGGGTTAGGGTCGCGCCTATCTTGTATGTATGTAATATTCTTTATTACATCGTATCTTCAAAACGGATTTAGATAATTGAGGTATCGTTAGATTTGTCTTAGTAGCTATTTCTAATTTTAATGTGGGGTTATTTTAATATTATTCTATTGTCAAAGATTCTAATTTTAATGTGGGGTTTTTTTAACATTATTCTATAGTCAAAGAAATATAGTTATACACGAGGTACACTGCAATACGATAAGTTATCTTATTTTCACAATTGAAAACGCAATTTGACAGCACTGCTACCAAAGACAGCAATCCCATCTTAGAGACCAATTATAATAATTATTACATACTCGTAAAATGTAGGTAAATAGCTAAATCTAGAAAAAGAAGTAAAAAATAATAGAATTTTATTCGCCAGAATATGGTACACTAATATTGCATAGTATGGTACAGGTATATTCATTTAAGACGATCAAATATCTGTTATTGTATGTAGTGTGCTTTTCAAGTATCACACATAAACATATGTACTCGCAATAATTTACGAAAATATATACAAAAAATATTGCGTAAGCTTAATCAACATTATCATGGTTTGCAGAACCACCTCAGCCCACAGAAGACTGTCCCCACCAGTTCGGTTATTTCAAACTGGGTGATGCAAGGAACTGCAGCGCGTTCAGAACCTGCGTGAACGGCGTCGGGTACGACTTCAGCTGCCCCGATGGGCTGGCGTTCAGCTCGGAGACTTACCGATGCGAGTGGCCAGACACAGTAGCCGACTGTGACGCTGAAGGTGGGTTCGAAAAAGTTTTATTATCTACAGACTTATTTCTTTTTTACTATGAATGGCAAAAAAAGTGAAAGAAGTCTATAAATTATAGACTTCTGGATGGTATTGTTCATTCAGTAAATTTTAGGTCTTAACATTATTTTGATCCTAGTATTACAAACAACTTTTGTGTCTATATGCATTGACCATGAAATGCCAACAGTAAAATTAATAATTTTAACTATAATACTGTTTTTTTGTATCTATATTTATTTACCATAAAATGCCAACAGTAATATTACATACTCCACATAATCCACATACTTTCGTAGATTTCAATTAAAATATTTATTATACAAAGGACTGTATAAATTAAATACATGTAAAAAACAAAACGCGTTAAATTCATATAACTGCAGGGATATTATTCTAATTCAGATTGTATCACGACCCTGGTAGATAAAGTTCATTTAGTATTTTCGTGAACTTTTTATTTTAAGCATATTATTTCAACGACGAAATTTTCTTCTTTTTGCGTTGGTTGCGTCTTCCAACTAAAGCTTTTTTAATTAATATAATTCAATTCCTTCTAAATTAATATGATCTTCAATATTTTCAGCTTTCCTTGGTTTCCGATGCCCACAAGTTCCTACTTCAAAAGAGCTCGGCCCTCCAGCTGGATACAGGTTTTACAGGTATGTCTTTGTCTTTGATTTCACCTGACTCTGACTCACAGAATATCTGCGACTATAGGAACAGGTTATGCTTCTATTGATAACCTATTAATGTGCAACACTTAAATATTAAATAGCTATGTCTAAGCAAAACAAACTTATAGGTATCTATTTTTAGATTTTTTGACTAAACATTTTTTAGTTTCTAATTTGACTTCAATAACAAATAAATCTTCGGTAACGTATATTATTTGTATATAATTAAAGATTTATTCCAAGGTCTTTCCTTATTAAATACCACAATCGTTTACCTTAACGTTTAAGAATCTAATAAAAATAAGACAAATATTACAAACGCAAAACGTCCAATATTTTTAATATTTTAAACTGTACCTAAAAATCGCATTACTAGATTTTGTTCTAAATATAATAACACAAGATTTTTTGTTCTATACACCTGTCAATATTTGACATAAACAACTTTGGCATAAATTATAAGTGTATGTTAAACAATGAGATAGGTAGTAGAGTATCATTAGTTGCAAACTTAATTGCCTTCTCTCGTTAACCCCTTACATTCATCATCACTGAAATCATAATAGTATCACTTGATATTTAATACAACCAAACGGGTTAGCTAATGGTCGGCCGGTCAAGTGTTAAATGTCAGCAGATGTTCGACCTTGTATTACGTAACCTTGTCATTAAACAGAGATGCTCACATACCTTTGCTAGAACGATTTCATTATAATTTACTTACATCCTGACGTAATTCTTAAAGGTTGTTGATAAATCTCCCATGAACTTCAAAAGTCCTAAATGCCAGATAGATCCAAGGCCCGTCCATATGGGCAAAATAGGTAACTATCTCGGGCAATCGTACTTGAGGACAAATTATTTGAAACAAAACAGATTATCTTTACTCCAATTATTTGGACCTTAAAAAAATACTTTTGTTTGAACACAAGTCCATGTCCGCGGTAATCAAAAGTGCGAAACTTTCACACCAAGGAGTTTCTTTTACACTCTTTAATCGATGTAACCTACATTAGTCTTATTTGTTCTGATTGTGTAAATGTGGTGCCAGCGACGCCAAGTTCCTAAAACGCCATATTCTACTGTTTTACCTAGGGCGCCAAGTTTCATTGAGCCGGAACTGGAAAGAACCCATCGATTATTGGCCAAAGGCCCTACCAGTGGGGACATTTATAGAGTCATAAATTCCATTACATTACTTTTCCAGATCTGACACCAATTGCCAGAAGTATTTCCTTTGCATCGATGGTCGCCCACGTGCACTCGGCTGCGGTGGAGACTCAGCCTTCGACGAGCTTACATCCAGCTGCGTATCAGCTGACGAAGTGGCAGCATGTCCCAACGAACTGAAAGCAGCAGCCGCGCGGTCCAGGGAAGAGGAAAAGCAGAGACTAGCAAAAGAGCTATCAATAAAATCCACACCACAACAGAAAAGAAGATTCTAGTTTATTGATTGCTTTATTACCAATTAGTTTAATGCCTCAGTCATTATGTTAATTAAAAGTTACCGTATTGCCAAATAAGAATGTTTTGATTGTAAGTAAGATATAAAAAGTCTATGTCAGAAAATAGTCAGCGACGTCAACTCTAAAGAGTTTTTTTTTTACTTTAAATAAATAAAGATGAAACCTTAAGCTCTTCTTGATAATATAATTTATCAGTGTCACCACATCCATTTGATATGTAAATATAAGTTTCAAGGAATTAAAACCGTTACAATAAACATCGTTTTAATTACTTCTAAGCCACAAAAGTAACAACTTAATCTGTTCGCTAATGATCACTCACGAACTCTGATTTGATATTGATGACGGTTCTCAGTATAAAATGTGATATTAATTTAACTTTTGTTCATTTGAAATATAGTTAGTGAAAATCAACACCAAAACTCAAAATGTTACGGTATCTTTGTTATGTTGTAGTGTTAGTGGCAACATGTGAGTATTACGTTATTAATTTCATATATTACTTTTTTTAATTGGATCATCTTTAAAGCAAACTAGGCGTGTGCCTAAAAGCGCAAGGTCACAAAGAGACACGAGAGGTAGTTTTTAAGCGATATTATGGGCAATATTTGTTTCATTTTACTACTAACCTTTATTAATACATTAAAACTACTTGGCCATGTACTTTAATTACGACGAACAAATGATAAAAAATGAAGATCATGGATTCGACAATAGTGTTACTAACTCAGTTTGAATTCTAAATTAATCCAACAAAGGACACGTCATAATAAGTAGCAAAATAAAACAAATAACCCCAAAATATCGCTAGATGATGTATCCTATGACTAGAGAGTTAGGCGGCTAGAAGTCGAACTCCTGTTCTTAGGATCCACGTCATCGATTTTGGTGAAAGAATAACTAGATTCACACACATCAGTTCGGGAAACAAAACCGGGCTTTTTGGTCGTTTTCGTATGTCTTATAGTATCAAACTTTCCACACTGGTAATAATTATTATAACACTGTAGCAGGCGAGTGAGTAGCACACAGTATAAATGCACTAACGTAACAGACTCAGTTGTTCGTTGCTATTATTGAGAATCCCAACAACACCGGACAGAACGAATCCATGATGAGGACACGAACTTACAGCCATTGCCATGGCGACTTAAACACGTGTTTTCTTGCAGCTTTTGCAAGAAATATGTTCTGCCCTACAAAATAAATATTTGTATACTACATGAACCTATCAGCGTTTAAACATGTCAAAACCAAAATTAGTTAAATCGGTCAATCCGTTCTCGAGTTTTAGTGAGACAAATGAACAGCAATTGATTTTCATATATAGGACTTAGAGAAATCATCAACGTAATCGTTCTTACCTCCTTTGCAGTTAGAAAAATTTAAACAGTACTCTAAATATATACTTTTTGAGGAAAGAATATTACTTTACTGCACACCCGCCTCTAACGCGGAGGATGAGCAAGGTTATGTGAGGGTTATTGGGCGGTTATACGCTAGTCTAAACGCAGAACTATCCCACTAAAACCCTCTGATATCCTTCACCTAAGCGGTGCTCGGAAAAAGCCCGAAGACCATTTCCACGCAGTTCGCCCCCACAACTGTGATAATTGTTGTTGATATCTTAAGTTTTGTCACTATGCAGGTCAAGCTGATGAAAATATCTCTACCCCAAATCCATTATGCAAAACGAGGAACGGCTACTATGGCAAGGAGGAAAACTGTGATAGTTACATGGAATGCCGGGTAAGAAATAAGAATCATCAAAATATACGATAAATGGAGATTTTTTTCCTTCAATAAAAAGGAAATATACAACAATAAATGATACTTAAATTAAAGTCGGTAATATATTGACAAATATAAGACATACAGCCGGTTTCTGAATTGAGAAAAGTACAAAATTTCAACTACTTAAGGCTCTTACGTTAACAAACTTAAAAGTCCTATTTATCAGACTGCTATGAATTGGTCATGAAAAAAAAACTAAAATCAGAAACGAAAACCTGTTTAAGTGACCTTGAAAACATTTTGAGACGTACTTAACTTTAAATTCTCAATTCAGAAACTGGATCTTAATAAAATAACTATTACCTGACTTCTTTATTTTGTCAATTGAGAATTGATTCGATTGATAAAATTTTAATATTCTTAATTAAAATGTGACAAGTATGAAAGAAATATTTTTAGTGTACAAATTAATTTCTAACATGTTTCTGCCAAAATGAAGTGTACTAATCTAAAACAATACCGTTGTACATTTTCCACATAATTGTGACGTAGCGAGCTATTTATCCGTAACTTTAATACCTATTATCTAAGCCATCTCTCTTTTTTATTTTGACTCCAATTTAAAGAAGCAAAATAAAATGCGTATCCTATATTTTTCTATCATCTGACTAAATAGAATTTCTTTTTTTTTACCCAGGCATCATCCCTATTGTGGCAATTTACAGGATTTTCAAGTTATGGAAATGGTGTGCCCTGACGGTCTCCACTTCGACCCAAAGGCAACCTTCCCTAACTACCCCTGTGGTTACCCCATGGACGTATCATGTGAAGGACGCGGAGCTCCTCGTATGTATAAAAATTTAATTTAAAACAAACGTTTCACAAATGTTCCAACATATACAATTTTACGATATAACCGACTGTGAAGACGGAAACCTTAAAAACATCGTGCACTTATAACCGTATGTAGCATTATGAAAATCGGTGGTGTATTTCTGTTAAAAGTTCTATGGCGTCAAACACAGTCTCAGCAAAAGAAAACCTTCTTGAAAAGGTAATAAAGGTTCTTTGATTGGACATCTATTGCTCTAACAGCGCTATTTTCGAAGCTATATTTAATACAGAATAGCGAAGCAGTTATTTCCTTGATTTAAGACCAAATTAACATTGGAATATACGTTACGAACATGGCATTTACGTAATAAGTCCTAGAAAAGTTAGGTTAGAACGATGATCACATATTTTCGTACTATTTTCCTGGGTGCTCCGTTACGTACACTGCAACCTGAATTTTGTTTTGTCACAGAACCTGCACGTTCAACCACCGATTGTCCACACCAGTACGGTTTTTACCCTTCATTGACTAAAACCGGACCAGCTGATTGCGGCGCGTACCGTATGTGTATTGAGGGTGTCTCCTCAGAGATGACTTGTCCAGTTGGCCTCGCGTTTAACTCAGAGCTATCCAGATGCGACTGGCCAGATCTAGTCCCTTCTTGCGATGCTGATGGTAAGAATTTCCATGGCGAATTATAAGCGACATTTCACAATGGTGATCTACTTATTAGCTTTTATCTTCTGTGAAACATAGATGATGTTAATATTTATTGATTTTATGATAGACCTTTGATAAAATAAAATTTAACTTTCAGCGTATCTTGGTTTCAAGTGCCCTGATGCACCTCTTGACACGAATGGCAAGCCTAAGATTGTAAACTATAAGTAAGTATGAAGACGTATGGCACATTTATTTATACTAAACTGGTACTTTTGGTAATTTGGAAAATAAATCCAAACTTTACCAGGGTAATTATATGGATATCGTTGGTTAAAAGGTTTCATTATTGAATATATTCAAAGAATACGTACCTTTTGCAAAATTGATAATAATCATGCTTTATAAGTATTTAAAAAACAGCTTTCTTAATAATTTAGAGGTAGCTTTCCGCCAGCAGCTTCGCCTCCGTGTTGCTCTATTATACATATGAATCTTTATATTGAACCGCTCTGTATATTGAAATACGTTGGGTAGCTTAGAAGATGTCAGCGTGCAGCAGCGTAAAGTTATAAAAACCACGTTCTGATATGAAAGCTTACCATTTTTCTTTTTCTTAATAAATTTTCATGTCTCTCAGTCTCATTATAGATAACTAGATGTTTTCTCAAGACTTCACTTACGAAAATTATAGCATATATCAGCTGCGTATGATGTAAATTTACATTTACATTGTCGGATCAAAAAATTTAGAAACTTCATTATAGTTATTATATTTGATCAATTTTCAAGAGTTAAGTTTTTCATTAAGAATAACTTGAACTCTTTTTATTATTAGTATAGATTTAGGTATGTAGTAGCTAAATTACCACTACCCTAGTCATCATCTGTTGTACGATAATAAATATTGATCAACAAAACATCTCCTGTGTGAATATAGACTACATGTCTAAACAAAGCATCAAATCAAATCATTTATTGACCATATAACTCAGAAAATTATCTCTAACGATAACATTATTAGCTTAGAAGCGATAAATTAATCTCTGAAATCCAGGAACATCATAAACTTTTAGAGACAAAAAAACTACTGTAATTCTGATCTTTTCAAATTTTATTTATATAATGGCACTGTTTGAGATCGGATTTTTTTTTTTCGTTACTAGGTAATATAGTTATTTTAGCGTAGCGCCCCACGATCATTGTTGTTAAGCTATTTTCGCAAGGGTCACGGGATGGACGGATGACTAAAAAATTATCTCGATCTACTCCATGCTTCGGAAGGCACGTTAAGCCACTGGTCCCGGCTGCATTTGCAGTCGTTAAAACCTCCAATCAGCATTGGGCTAGCGTGGTGGGTCATGGTCCGTCCTCCTTAACCTTCCACAAGGAAGGCCTAAGCCCCTGCAGTGAGTACATAAATGGGCGAATGATAATGATGACTTATTTTTAGGTACGAGGGCGACTGCTATGCGTTCTTCTCGTGTGAGAATGGTCACGCACGTTTGCTGACCTGTGACGCTGGTTTCGTGTTCGATGTAGAATCCGGCCGCTGTCAGGACTCCGAAAAAGTTAAATGTGAAGTTAAGGCTAAAGACGAATAAAAAAGTTACCATTAAAATAAAATCTGAATAAAAAATACTTCAAGCATTTTTCATTAAGAATATTTTTCAGTATAGCATTGTGAATGCAAAATTAATCAAATGTAATATAAATGTTGTTTTATTCGACTACCTACGTCTCCGATGAGACATATCGCACACTTAGATCTAAACTGAGACAACTCAAAAATTTGAGCGAGTTTTGACTAAGTACAATATTCAAATACTCGGTGATCATACGCATCTATCCAACATAACAGATTCAATTAAGGTTCGGGCATGAGCCGCTAGATAACTTTAGCTCTTTTTTTGTTGAATTAACAATGGTCGCGCTCCTCCACGTAAACAAATGTATTGTCAAACCTCCAAATTAGTTTTTTGAGTTGTCTTAGTTTAGATCTAGGTGTGCGATTTATAAGTAGGCTTGTGTCTTCACAACTTTGTTGAGGAAATATGCAAATGTCAGATGGTACTGTCTATTTATTACTATACAATTAGAAAACAGTAATAATACCGTGTTAAGCGTTCACAAGAATCTTAACTCTTATTAACAACTAGCTTTCGCCCGCGACTTCGTCCGCGTGGTAAAGTTACTTTGAGCAACATTTCTAACGAATATTTATTAATTATATCGTATAAAATACCTGAAATAAAGTTTCATCCCCTATTTTATCCCCTTAGGGATGGAATTTATGAAAATCCTTTCTTAGGGGATGTCTACGTCATAGTAGCTTAATGCATGCAAAGTCTCAGCCCGATCGGTTTAAAGTTGACAAAGTTTCACACAAACTTTAATCCCCTCTTTTATCCCCTTGGGGGTAGAATTGATCAAAATCCTTTCTTAGCGAATGCCTACGTCATAACATTTACCTGCATGCCAAATTTCAGCCCGACCCGTCCAGTGGGTTGGGCTGTGCGTTGATAGATCACTATATCAGTCAGTCACCTTTGAGTTATATATATTTAGATAGATACCTTAAAATCGACATTTAAAATTTGGCAGTTAAAAATATTCATCTTAAAATTTTGTAAAATAAAAAAAATAAACAAAGCTTTCTTTGAATCGGTTTCATGTACTTATCTGATATTAAATAATAGCGGGGCTACGGGCCTACGGTCCTGGAGGCCTCCAAATGGCTACAGCCATCCGAAATTATAATCTATATATATATATATATATAAAAGCTTAAGGAAAGGAAGAAACTACAAGTGCTAAGAGTTTCAAATTTTGTATGTGGGTTATTTTTAGGACCTAGGTACTCAATAAGACAGGATTTTAAGAAATTCGGGTTGAATAATATAAGAGGGTAAATTAGGGGATGAAAATTTGTATGAAGCTTCGTTACTACGAATGCTAGGTGTTTCAAATTTTGCGTGCAAGTTCTTTTTAGGACGTAGATGCTCACTAAGACGGGATTTTACGAAATTAGACCCCAAACCCGAATTCCAATTCACTCAAGTGACCGAATTTACTTCAAAAAGCGGCATTCGCGCAACCTTGAATAACGTTTCGTGGCATAAGTGAGGTGAGTTTCAAAATGATATAGGAATATCATTGTCGTAGCTCGGTGGCGTAGTGGATTAGCGCTGCGGCCCGTGATCGTAGTCGTTAAGCAACTTTCGCAAGGGTCGGTCACGGGATGGGTGACCAAAAAATTATTATCTCGAGCTACTCCGTGCTTCGGAAGGCACGTTAAGCCGTTGGTCCCGGCTGCATTTGCAGTCGTTAATACCCTCCAACGCGCATTGGGCCAGCGTGGAGGGTCATGGCCCATCCTCCTTAACCATCCATAAGGAAGGCCTGAGCCCCTGCAGTGGGGACGTAAAAGGGCTGATGATGATGATGATGATAGGAATAAAATATCTGAGACACGTATACGTATTCAATCAATTTTGCTTCGTATTTTTATACAAAAAAAATGGAATCAATATAATTTCTACGATGAGGTTAGTCCGCCACTGAATAATTCAATTATAGGCCGAAGTAAAGTACAATGATATAAGATTACAGCATTATACCCCACCTTATAATCTCAATTGTATTTTTTTCGTTTTTCATCTATCGTTAAAGATGTTGAACATCCATATTTAGATATCAGATCAGAATGCAATTGCTAATTATTCATACATTATAAAATGGAATTATAAATCGTCGATCTCGACTTTAACAAGTGCTTGTAACAACCGAGACTGAATAAATAATTTTAGTTGATTGATTTGCTTGATCGATAATCTAAAAGAATTGGCAGTAATAGTAAATAAGGTTGACCTTTGGAAATAGCCATTTCGACTCCAAGTAGAACGCGAAATCCACACTTAAATAAAAATTATATACATATCTTTGGTTTAGTTTAGAAAGTTGTACAACAGAATTGACAATAAGCTTGACTATTTTTGTTTTGTCTATCTTTCACGTCAGGCAGATTTTGAGGAATTATTTAACACGTATTTTTATATATACTTTTTTCTAATTTTTATTAATTCAGTAAATTACGACGATACATTGAGTTGAATTGTAGCATGTTAACATTCTCTACATAGTTAATTTGTGACGTAACCAGTCACTCCCCAAATTGAATGCCTATTATTCAAACCATTTCTTGATATGCAAAAAAAATATATCTGTCTAATATTTTTCTTTGATCTGACTGACGGAAAAATAGATCGTGGGAGAGCCATGCTTCGGCATGAATGGGCCGGCTCGACCGGAGTGATACCACGGCCTCACAGAAAACCGACGTGAGGCAAAGCTTGCGTTGTGTTTCGTCGTGTGAGTGAGGGTACCGGAGGCCCAACCCCTCCGTATTCCCTTCCCTCTACCCCTCAACCATTACCTCCAAGGCCGGCAGCGCGCTTGTAGCCCCTCTGGTGTTGCAGGTGTCCATGGGCGACGGTAATCACTTACCATCAGGTGATCCGTCTGCTCGTCTGCCCCCTATCCCATAAAAAAAAAAAAGAATTACTTTATTTTACTTAAGCATCATCCCGTTCACCACTTCTTAAAATCAGTAGCAGAAAAAGAAATAATCTACTTCAAAGAGTAACTTACATATTTTTTGGTTGCAGGCTATCAATTATTGAGAAAAGGATTGGACAGTAACAATCGTAAAAATGATAATATGTCATAATCAATATGTGGCAAACCACAAATCTCAAGGCGTCTGTCTAATCCAAATTAAACTGTAATTAACTAATCACAAACGATATTATTACTAACAGATTGATAAAAATATGATATATACTCCATTTTTGAAGAATTTTAATCACTGAAGTATCTGGAGTGTGTGTTTACTGTAGTTTATTTATAAAATTTAGAAACCAATAATGTTGTGGCTTAAAATTGTTTTGGTAATAGCGCCTCTGGTGAACGGTAAGGAATAATGTCAAAATTATTAAGTTTTGTATTTTTTTTAATGGTCCCTATTTATCAACCACCGATATATTGCCATATTCAATTTATAGTGAACGCAGTGAACTCTAACATAGGAAACTGGAATACAAATCGTGCATCAAGACTCACTTTAAGGCCAACAGCAGTGAAAAAAACAATAGGTAAACCGTCAAATATTATCACTCCATTCTTTGAGACTATTTTAGAAAAACTTTTGGATATTATAGACCCTAAATCACATAGAGACATTTCTGTATGCAATCAATTTTTTAGATCCACAGCCGTTTAAAAAATTACCACTTCCAAGATCAAGTTTTACGGATGTGACCAAACCTACGAGTAAGCCGATAGATATTCAAAATTTTAGGGAATCAATAGAAACTAAAAGTCAAGAACCCTTATCCACTATTGCACCACTACCAAATAAAAATATAAACATATCACATTTGGGATCACAGTCAGTTTCTCTTCCTTTAGGACAACAGTTAATTGCTTCTAAATCAGATACACCAGCTAGCGTTGCACCTACTGATATTATTAACCAAGAAAAACAAGTAAAAGAATATGAAGTAACTACAAATGACCCGACACAAGTTGATGTACCTCAGATGAAAATTGTTGAATATTATGTACCAGAATTAATTAAAAAACTGCAGCCTCTCAAAGAGAAATATTACAAATCAAATATACTGTCAAAGACTGTTGATAGGACAGTTCAAAGTGCTAATGAAAAACATGAGATCAACTTTATCAATAAAAAGGAACCAGAAGTTATCAATGAACGAGACCCAACAGATTTTGTTTCTGCAAAACAATCTAAAATCCTTATAAATCCTGAAAATGTGGAACAATCTGAGCACCAGATAAACCAATTACGAAATATACCAACATTACCATCACCGACTATCATCCCGCAATACACATATACACAACAATATTCGACACCTGTAGGTAACCGTCAACGCATCAGGCAAAGATTTTCGCCTACGATACGACAGCCTCTAATTTCTTACAAATCCAATAAACTGGAACCCATCACCCCCATACGACGCACAGTACAATCTGCAACTACCGAACAAAAGCCAGGTGATTTGAATTCAATACAATTATTTGATTATAAATGCCAAAACGTTAATGGATACTACGGTATACAAAACGAATGTGTCAATTACATTGAATGTAAGTTAAAACAATATTATGACGTGAAAATACCATGTTGCACGTCATAATATTGTTTTATGCAAGCTTATGTGTTCTAATAGTCAACACTTCAACAGCAAAGCATTGTGGCCAAAACCTTGCTCTCAAATTCTGGATGTTGAATGCAATACTTCGTGTTACATACATATGTTACTAATACGAGTATCCATCAAACATCGTAATATAATGGCAACTTCTATTGGGTTGGCACAAAAGTAATGAGACACACTATAAAAATCTATAACATTTCCTTTTTAAAATCAATTTTTTCGATAATATTCTAGAATGTTGTAGAACATTCTAGGTACTTCTGGTGTAGGGTATATAAAGCCGCGCTCGCGATTTGTTTAGTCAGTTTGAAGAAAAATGGACGAGCGACAAGTTCGAACACTATACTTATACGAGTACTTGTTAGGCCACAGTGCGCGGGCTGCGGCTGACAATATCAACAATGCATTAGGCGCTGGAAGTACAAGCCATGCGACGGTGCCCCGATGGTTTGACCGTTTTAAATCAGGAGACAGGAGCCTTGAAAGTAAGCCACGCTCAGGGCGACCACCCGCAGTGAATAATGACGATTTGCACCGCGAACTGCAGTTGAATCCGGATGCTACCACTCGTGAATTAGGGGAAGCACTTAAATGCAGTCACCACGCTGTGGAACACCATCTGCATGAGCTCGGTTATCGAAAAGTTTTGGCTCGGTGGGTACCGCACATCCTTACAGACGCCAGTCGTGCAGTCCGTGTCGCTATCTGTCAGTCACTTTTGCTGCGACCCCGACGTAAAGAGTTTTTGTCAGATCTGGTTACTGGAGATGAATCATGGATTTATTACGAGAACGATACACGTCGTGCTTTTTGGCTGCCTCGAGAAGAAACGCCACCAACTCAACCGAAGCCGAGTCAAAAGAACCGCCGAAAAATTCTGCTTTGCTGTTTCTGGGATGCGCAAGGCATACTGTTTTATGAGCTATTACACAATGAAACTATAAACGCTGACAAATATTCAACCCACCTTACCAAATTATCTGCCGCTATCAAGAAAAAACGACGAAGACGAGTCAATGTAGTTTTACTGCACGATAACGCTCGACCTCACGTCGCATCTGTGGTTCGCCGGCAGTTGGAGAACTTGGGCTGGGAGACGATACCCCACCCACCTTATTCCCCAGACCTCGCCCCATCAGACTATCATTTGTTTAGAGCCCTGAAACAGCATTTGCGCGGTAAACAATTTAATGATTTCTCTGACGTAGAGGCGGAGTTGAACAACTTTTTCGAGGCACAGCCAATAGAGTTCTGGGCAAAAGGCATCCAAACTTTGCCGGATCGTTAGCAAGAAGTCTTAGATACTAATGGTAATTACATCTTTGACTAAACTTTTTTTATTGTAATAATAATAAAAAAGTAAAAACTTAAACCAAGTGTCTCATTACTTTTGTGCCAACCCGATAATATCACCATAGAGCAGAATTACCTAGGAGATTTTAGCAGTAGAAGTGAATGAAAAGTACCTACCTAGGAGATTAGCAATAGTAGTAATTATACTTTATGAATGTCGAAGGTATACAAACACAAACAAAATCTACACTCTTCATAAAACGAAGGAGCAAAATAACATATGTCATGTTATTTAGTACCTCATTATGGACAGATATTGTGTTTTAATTCTTGTACATGCAGATTCTACTAAAGTCAAGTAAATTTTATAGTTATTATCTGAGATAAATCAAACAATAAAACTTTCAGATGATTTGCAGCCGTCTGCTGCATGCCCTAGCCCATTCGGTCTCTTCCCAATATTTGATGACGATTGTAGCACATATACCATGTGCTATGAAGGAAAAGCTAACATCATGAACTGCCCTCAAGGGCTGGTGTTCAACAACGAGGAGAGCGCGTGCGACTGGCCTATTAACGTCCCATCGTGTAAACCGAAAGGTATGTCAATAAACAGCGCGTCTTGGCTTATATATAGTATAATTGCGAAAGCGAAAGCTTATAGGATTGTGGCGACTGATACGTAGTAACATTTAATACTTAAATTAAAATACTAAAAGTCAATTATAACAAAGAAACCCTACATCATCCACAATAAGTTTCATTACCAATAAATAGAATGTCCAACCTACATGGGTTGAACCGCGATCCCCGGAGTAACAACACCTAGCTCGGAGGGAGACAATTATACTTTAGTCTCAGTTGCCAATTGTCTCCATCATCCAGTAGTACCACACCTTCACCATTTCGGTTCCCACAGGATAGAATCAACCGTCAAAAACCCTTCTTTGCATCCTATAATAGGGATAATGACTAATTTTTGTTTGTTTGTCCGTCAGTTAGAGTGTTAAAAAATATTAAACACGTATTTTTTTATTTTTCCTAATCATAAAATTACGGCGCTACATTGAGTTGAAATTACGCATGACGGCACGTTAGTGTACGTTTTCTACTCAACTGTGACGTAGCGAGCCCCCACTCCTCAACTTTAATGCCTGTTATCTAAGCTATTTCTTGTTAAATTGAAGTAAAAAAAAAATACGTATCTAATATTTTTCTATTATCTGACTGACGGACTAAATAGAATTGCATTTCTTTTACCCAGTCATCATCCCTATTGTGCTTCTACAGGTAATATGCTGCCAAGTATATTTTTAGCTTTTATCCGCTCTAGGCAAAAGTAATAAATGCCGCCCTTTATACACTTATCAGCTTAAAGCGCCCGGCGTCCTCAATTTTGCCTCTGTCCATTTTTGCGGCTCTGGGCAATTGTCTATAGCTTCTTAGATCTAGCCCTGCTTGTAGGTAGTGTGTACCGTGTATGAGGTTGAAGAAATATCTTATGGTACGTTAAAAAAACTATATTTCTGCTGATCGGAAAAATAATCTAAATTATTTTACAAAAAAATAAATGAGTATCATTTTCCAGTGTTTCGAGGATTCACATGTCCAGCTGTGCCTGAAGACGATGATGTTGACATGATCTATAAATACAAGTAAGTAAATAAGTTAGATTCCAAAGAATTTAGGCATAAGGTGTTGAAGTCACTGAGTTACTTTTTCCCATGCCATTAAAGGTTAATTTTTAGTCGAACCATTCAATATTATTATTACATTGTTATTATTACGGATACAAATATTTTCTTTAATACTCACCTTGACAGAGTGAGACTTTCATTATTGAACTCTTACCATTTAATTCTAACCATCCAAAAGTCGAAAATCTTTTCGAAATAATACCGAGTGTACGTTGAAATAAAGAATAAATTATTTTTTTAACATCTGGAGTGTGGCATAGGATGCTTTTAGAGGGTGATACCAGTAATCAATAAATAGCAATACCAATAAGCAATGTAAAGCCCAAGAAGACTGAAGACTACCCAAATGCCTCCTTTACAGAGTTTAGTACTCTCTCAAATCTATAAGTTGAAAACCGTTTTTTTTTTCGATTTTTTACTTTACTACTTTGTTAGCGTAATTAACGTGTATGTATACTCATGCTAAATAACGAGATAAACCGCAGACGAACGGACGGACGGACGAACGGACAGACGGACTTGGTGAAACTACGAGGATTCCTTCTTGTTACGGAACGCTAAAATCAAAACTTTTCTAAATCAAATTGATAAAAAAAAAACAACTCGTTTTAATAGACTTAAAACGAGTAGTTTTTTTTTTCGATTATACTCGTATGCGCTAATTGCTGCTATCTAACTCCATTCTCTTATCGTATTTTGTTTTTTTTAGTATAACTGTATACTATATGGGCGCTTGTGCACTTCACTGAATTTTCAGGACCGGTAATCCGTTTTTTTCGGTCCGGAATGACATAAAAAACCCGGATGATTAGCTTGTGTACTTGTCCGTTTTTTTCAAGATCGAAGCGGCGCAGTTAAGGGCAGCTCTCTTTGAAACTAAACGTCACTTACGCGATGAGATTTTTGAACGCCAGCAATTATTACTCGTAGAGTAACAATGCGATAAATAATACTACGTGCGAAGACGTATAAAATAGAAAAAATATTGGGTTTATCCCATTATAAGTGAAAGGTATCTGACAGGGTCATTTTACAAAAACCACAATAAATTGAGGCAGGACAAAAGCATTTTTTTAACTACTATCGGATGACTTAAATCGGATGTAAAAACTTACTAATGAGGAAGTATAAAAAAAACATTAGTTCCCGAAATCAAACTAGATGTCGCTACGGTACGTCCTTGATTTCTCCATGACAACCCTTCCGGTTTTCTTTCATGTTAAATTACCTTTCAAAACTCAATAAACAACTCATATTCTATTTGTACTCTTTCGTATTTGTATTGATATCTAAGTCACAAACTTTTAAAATTTCAGTTTTTCAATATGTTAGTTAAAAGGAACGGAAATTACTGTCTTTGGTCCATTCTTTTCCTGCAAAAATCAACCTTTGCTAGAGTCGCCATTTAGTGGAGGTGCTTTTTTAGTGATTTCTTTTTTTTTAAATACTTCCTCATTTAGGAACAGCATTAGTCACATATAATAGTCAAAAATATCTGTGACATTCGAATAAAATTACTGATAACGTTCTCTTACTTGATATTTATTTAATTATAATTGCTATTATTTAAAATTTATTTAAAATAGACAAATGGCGGACTTAATGGCAAAGAGGCATTCTCTACCAGTCAACCAGTAAATTAAGTACAAAATTTAAAGTGGCGATTGGCAACAATACGCTATTGATATCTCTGGATAGGAACTATATCTAAATATATATGAAAATACATACGATAATAGAGATACATACATATACATAAATAAATGCATAAATATACTACAACACAAAGTACGAAACAAAATCTGGTGTCAGATCAAGAACTCTTGTTTGAAGCAGAATAGACGTTGCAAGCTGCTGTCTTGAATGCAAATTTGTTAGGAGCACTTCGGACGTTCAAAGGCATGCATTCCAAAGACGAATTGCGGTTAGAGTGAAGGAATGAGATACAAAACAAGAATGATGAGAAGGGGTTTGGAGTACCAGTCTACTACTAGAACGAAGATGTTACAGGTGAGAGGCACCAAGGATTTCAAATACTCAGGTGCTCATGGATCGAAAAGTATCTGGAAAAGCGTACAAACATTCCTTAAGCACCTACGCTCCCGAATAGGAAGCCACTCAAGATGTTGACGAAAATTGGGGTGTGGTCGTATTTGCGCAGACCGAAAACAAATCGACTTATATTGTTCAGAAGACGATCCAATCTATTGAGAAAGGTTTGATTGATATCTGAAGTACAAACATCAGCATAGTCGAAAAGGGGATGTACAAGAGCTTGGACGAGAGCAGACTTAGTACGGGGAAGGAGAAAGTTCTTAAGTCGATAAAGCGAGCCGAGGGTGCGATGGATTTTACTGCAGACATTATCCATCTGATCATACCAGTGCAAAGTACTGTCAAGAACAAGCCCAAGATTTTTTACCTTAGCAGTATAAGAAATCACCGAGCCAGCATAGGTAACAGCTGGAATTGTTTTGAGGTTAGTTTGCGATATTTGTCGGGAGCTACCGATAATAATATCCGGACATTTGTTGGGATTGACAGATATACCGAAATGATTTGACCATTTAAATAACTTCGGTATTGAAATTAATCATGCAAATTTTCTTTGAAGTTTTGTAAAAACATCTTCAAGCGATTACGGTTCAAGTGTAAGCGGAGAATTATTATTGAACTTTACGGTGGCATTTAAATCAGCCATTATTTTTTTTTTATTAGTTTTAAATGTCATAATATAACTATAATCATTGTAAGATCAGTTGGCTGCATTATATATTTAATTACTAGCTTTTGCTCGCGATTTTATACGCGTGTTATAGTTTCTTTGAACATAATTCTTTTCTTTTAGAATACTTCTGTTACCAAATATTTATTTATTCTTATCTTATCAACTGCCTAAAAACAAATTTTGATAATGATAAGTTTCCATGCAAACTTTCATCCCTATTTCCACCTATTTTTCGCGATAAAAGTTAGCCTACGGCCTACAAACGTCCTTTCTCAAGTTAGGTCTATTTCTGTATTAAACTTCATAAAGATGGGTTCAGTTGTTTAGGCATGGAAGCGTAATAACATTTATTCGTCTTACCTTAAGTTATCTTACTTTGATTTGATATTGTTTTGGGATCGATACTTTTAATACGATTCCAGAATCTAGCAAAGTATTGACACTAGAACCATACGATGATCTATATCGAGAACTATATCGAGTTTGTAAAGGCATATGCAGTGATATTATCAACTATATTAAATCTTGATACAAAATAACAAATTTTATACTTAACAATAAATATCAATAATCAATATATCGGAAATTAACAATATCACTAATTAATATAATATAATATTTTTTCCAAGCCTACTCTGCTGGCACATCAATTTCCGGATCGCGAAAACAACAGTGCACAAGCGTAACACGTTTTTCATTGCTGCCGTCACGATCCGGAATAGAGAAAAATAAAATTCCGGACCGCTAAATTCCTGACATTGCACAGGCTAACACATATGACCTGACATATCGGACCGGAAAAATCGGACTTTCGAACCTGAAAATTTAGTGTAGTGCACAAACGCCCTATATCTTAATGTCTTATTACAGATATGGCGATAGTTGCAAATACTATGTCGCCTGTGAAAGAGGGCAACCGCGTCTTTTGAGTTGCGACAAAGGCCTCGCTTTCGATGAAGAATCACAATTTTGTATTGATGCTGACTATGTACCAAATTGCTGATATTGACTACTTTTCAAAAATTTTATGTTAATATTGACCTGTTCGTACATATTTATCTCATAGAAAAATAAATTAACTAAAATTTACTAACTTATGTATTCATATTGGCCTATTTTATATCTTATTCATAATTAAAGAAGTTCGAGACGACACTCGATCACTGAATATAACTGAGTATATAATTTAGCAAAGTCATTCTTTTCAAAGCCAGTGATGAACAAGATACCAGTAAAAATAAAGCTTTTTCAATATTACCGACATTAAGTTAGATTTTTGTAAATAATATTCAGGAACAACTAATGTCTTAATGTCGTTAAGGCTATGAGAACTTTTATTTTTTTTAATATGGCATTAATATATAACGTCTCTTATTTTTAGTCAGTGTATTTATTGCGAAAAGGATTTGCTAAAATAGCATTAAGGCAACTTTTGCAATCTGTGAAAATTATAGTCTTAAGCAGATTATGTGATTCAATATACATAATTGCTTCAAGGATAGCGATTGCCTCTCCAGTGAAAATAGACGAATCAGGAAGAATTATTTTGTAGGTATTCATACAGCAGAACCTATATATTCTCCATCAGAGAGTTTTGAAGCATCAGTATAAACCACGAGCCAATCGCACCAATTTTAATGATCACGTCTTGCAGCAGATCTTCTGCATTTGAGGAATTTTTGAAAATGCCTACATCTAACAAGATGTTAGGACGATTAATGAGACTAATTGGAGAATCAAACATTAGAACATAAGACAGGGGAATCTGATAAAGCATAGGAAGCTACGAAATAAACAAGGTATGTTTCCAGAACATGTTATGAGATATGAATTCTGAAAGTAAATGTATTTGTAAATAAGTGGGTGATTTGATTTCTATAAAATTTTTAAAAAGTATCTATCTGATAAGTATTGTCTTTATTGGCATTCTACTTGCATAGCATTAATAGGAGAAGATTTTTTAGCTCCCATAACAATACGGAGACACTTTTTTAAGGATGATTTTATACAAAAAGGATGGGTTCCCCATCAAACACCTCACAGGGATCGGTAAATATTTATATTTTTTTCACATTTTTATACCATTAGAGCGATGTGGTGGAATCCTGTCATTCTGGAGTCTAGAACAACTCCAAGGAATTTTACCTGATTTTTCAAAGGGATAAATCGGTTTAAATATTTAATTTGGACATAAGGGGTATTCCTAGAACATGTAAAAATAACAATATTACTTT